AGTGAAAAAAACATAGACGGTATATACATCATCTTAATTTGTTTAAACATTTAAAGCATATATATTTATACACACCAAAAAGAAGACAAGACAGAAATACACTAAAATGTTGCCAACTCTTGATTAGTAGATTAAGTTTTTCTTATTTATATTTTTCTAAATTTTATAAAATAAATGTTATTTTTGGTAATCCTAAACAAAAAATTGAAACTATACCATACAAAATTTATGTTATATCTAATATTTAGGAGGTAATAGTTTTCCCTTCACAGATTCTAAAATATTTGTAATAGGTCAGCATATATCAAACATGTTTATAGGAAATAGCTGATCTTTTTTTTTTTCTTCTTTTTGTTGAAAAATAGTTGACATACCATATTAGTTTCAGGTGTACAACATAGTGATTCAGCATTTATACACATTACAAAATACTCACCATAATAAGTGTAGTTACTGTCAGTGTACAAAATTACTACAAAACTATTGACTATATTCTCAATGCTTTACTTTTCAACCCATGACTTAACTTGTTTTTTAATTGGAAGTTTATAGCTCTTTATCTGCTTCACCTATTTTGCCCAATGCCCCAACCTCCTCCCCTCTGGCAACCACCCATTTTTTTCTCTGCATTTATGAGTGTTTCTGTTTGTCTATTTATTTTGTTTTTTAGATTCTATATATAAGTGAAGTCATATGGTGTTTGTCTTTGTTGACTTTTATTTCACTTGGCATTAATACCCTCAAGATCCATCCATGTTGCAAATGCAAGATTTCATATATATATATATATATATCTCACATCTTCTTTATCCATTCATCTATTGATGGACATTTAGGTTGCTCCATATCTTGACTATTGTAAACAATGCTACAGTAAACATAGGGGTGCACATATCTGTTCAAATTAGTGATTTTGTTTTCGTTGGGTAAATTTCCAGAGGTGGAATATACTGGTTCATATGGTATTTCTATTATTAATTTTTTTAGGAAATCCATACTGTTTTCCATAGTGGCTGCACCAGTTTACATTCCCATCAACAGTGTAGGAGGGTTCCCTTTTCCCCACATCCTCACCAACACTTGTTATTTCTTGTCTTTTTGGCACTAGCCATTCTGACTGGTGTGAAGTGGTATATCATTGTTGTTTTGATTTGCTTTTCCCTGATGATTAGTGATGTTGAGCATCTTTTCATGTGTCTGGCCATCTGTATGTATGTCATCTTTGGAAAATACCTGTTCAAGTCTGCCGCCTAATTTTTAATTGGATTATTTATTTTTTTGTTTTTATATGAATTCTTTATGTATTTTGGATACTAGGCCCTTACCAGATATATCATATGCAAACAGATTTTCCCACTTAGTAGATTGTCTTCATTTTGTTGATGGTTTACTGTGCAGAAGCTTTTTAGTGTGATCCAGTTCCACTTGGTTTTTTTCTTTTTTCTTTTGTTTCACTTGCCTGGGGAGACATCCAGAAAAAAATTGCTAAGGCCAGTGTCCAAGAGTTTTCTTTCTATGTGGAAATAGTCTTAAAAGGTTTTTGTTTGTTTCTTGTTTGTTTTTTTCATACTCCATATTTTAATATTAATAAAAATAAAAATCAACCTTAGTAAGCATAGTGATTTTAATTGAATTTTATAAGCTATGTTATTTTCCTTTATAAAGGTTGTCTGTAGTTAAATTGAAGATTATCATCTTTAAAAAGTACATTTACTAAGACTTGTATGACCTATTACTTTATTATAGGAAATAATAGTACCTTTCATTACCATATTACTGTACAGTAGTGTTTTACCAAGCAAGTATGTTGAAAGAACAACATTTTTGACATAGATTTAAGACAGTATTTACAGCATTTACTGCCTGAGATTTGTGGGTTAAGACAGAAAATACTAAACTTATGAATCTATGTTAAGGTTTTCCTCTTTACATTCCCATTCATTTACTCTTTGACTTTGAGTCATTTAACCTCTCATGACTTTGAAATTCTGTAATATACAGAATGATACTTAGTATTATTCTACATTCAGTAAACATGATTGAATAATTGCTATTTCAAGATACTTTACTGGATTTGGGGGCCAGTACCAATTTAAGACAATCATTGCCCCATCTAGAAGATAAGTGTAAATATGTAATTACAGTGCAATGTGCTGAGTGAGCTGGTAACTGACATTGATTCTCTGCAGTCTTTCATTCAATAAGTCACTCATTAAACATTTATGCAGTATTTACTTTGTGTTAGGAAGAGTAGTACACAGCTCCTTTTCTTACAGGCTTAAGGAAGAGGCAGCTTTATAAACAGATAACAGCAGTGTGGTAATGGAAAGGAGGAAAAAAGGGTTTAGAAGCACAGGAGGAAGTGATTAATTTTGCTTTGTGAAATCAAGGAAGACTTCTTGAGGAGGCAATATTTGACTCTGGTCTTAAAGGGTCTGCACAAATGAGTCAGACAGAGCAGAGGTAGAAAGGCATGGCACACAAAAGGAATTCCTTGTGCAAAGAATACAGGAAGGCTGCCACTAGGTAATAGCTTTGGGTAGCTTTAGGTACATGAGAGATGGCATGTTTGTGGAATCTGAAGCTGTCAAAGTAGCTTTGCCTTGCTCTATACAGAGATGGTACTTTATAGAAGCAGTAGTCTATAGGAGTACCATCCAAAAAGTTTTATGTGATAATAGGAATGTTCTCTGTACCACTATTGTATTGTAGCCATTAGCCACATGTGGCTGTTGAGCTGCTGAAATGTGACCACTGTGACTTAGAAACTGAATTTTGAATTTTACTTATTTAAATTTAAAGAGCCACATTTGTGTATTAATCATGTTTTTTATTTTCTTTATTTTATGATGCTTTGAATCATGGGAGCCTTGCTCACAGAGGAGTACCTGCCCCTCCCAAGACTAATATGTTTTTTATTTTCTTTATTTTATGATGCTTTGAATCATGGGAGCCTTGCTCACAGAGGAGTACCTGCCCCTCCCAAGACTAACTAATTCCTAGAGATAGTAAACAATTTGCCTGTAAGCATCCCTTTCTCACGCAAACCACCCAAAATCCAAAACCCTTCTGCCCACCACCTCCTTTATGCAACTCTCACGTATTGTGCCGGTATTTCCTCTGCCCTAAAGCACCCCAGGCTACGTACTGGATAACTAGGACCACCCTAATCGTCCTGAGCCACTGAAATTATTCAAGCTAGCCAATCCTAAACTGTCTGCCCTACATTGCCTTTTCTGTGGAAACTTCAATAATGCTTGCATCCAAGCTTCCTCTTACCTTCCTCCTGACCAAACCTGGTACTTCTCCATGGATGGCAGGGTGTGTCCCCCACTTTGGGAATTGTAAGTAATAAACTTTTATTTCAAGGCAGTTGTCTCTGTGTCTGTCATCTTACTGGTTGAAACCAAATCCAGGTACAAATCAAAGCCCTGTGGCTAGTGGCTGCTATACTGGACAGCACAGCTCTATAGATAGACTTCTCCCCCTAAGAAACAGTTCTTTGTCATTTCTAGAACTTTAATTCATTCAGAGGATCTGTGTGGAGTATGTCTCCACTTTAGCTATAAGAGTAGAACAGCTAACATGATAGGCAAGATCTTTATCCATACAGAGCTTCATTCTGGTGACTAAAGGATTGTGTAAGATTTCTGCCAATACAGCATTATCAAATTGAGTTGGCAACATATTCTTTTAAGGGATTTGCTACCAATCTCTATAACCTCTCAATAAAAGCTACCATTTATTTTCTATCATCTCTGTGCCAGTCACCCTTATAGGTGCCATACACATAATGTTTTATTTAGAGCTCATAACAAACTTTGGCACAGTGTTTTATCAAAAATAGTTTCATTTTGAAAGAGTTGGTATTAAGCCAGTATTTTCTTTCAGTAGTTAAATAGTAAGAACAATTATCTCTGGGAGTAGTTTTATCAATAGAAGAACAGATAAAATTTTAGATCTTTTGGATATGATTCATGGTGATTGAGGACAGGCTTTTGACTTACTTTCCTGGACTAAATCTGCTTAAGCTGCAGTTTACCCTCATGAAAATGGGAATAATAATGGTACCTACCAAATCCAGTTGTTTAAGCTAACACAGTGTTAAATGAGGTAATACAGTTGCAGTCTTAGCATAATCTATTCATTTATCATTAACATTTATTAGCGTGCCTTGGTGCATAATCTTCTGTTCTTCTCTTTCTTGATTGAGCTGTTGAAAGCTGTCAAATAACTCTTCAAGGACGGAAAGGATTCCTCACAGAGCCAGGGTTGATAAATGCATGCTCTAATGTTATCTTGGCTCCCTGGTGTGTTTGTTTCAGTAGGCCTGGGGCCATTTCATTCATGTCCCTTATATTCCCTAACCTCCTGAGACAGTGATGACTGTTCCAGAAGGCATTTAATGAGCACTTACAGATCATATTAATATATCTAATAATGAGAACACTCAGTAAATGAAAATTTCAGTTCTTTAAAATAGATTTTTAAAATAGCTTTTAAGTAAGATTTAGGTGTTTTTTTTGGAATCACTATGTCTTACAAAAAATGTAAATTAGTTAATTGAAGACACGTTGTGTCTAAAATTATAAATCAATGGTAAAATATTTATGTATATTCTGTTGTATGATTTCAGGCATGGTGGAAAAGCTTTCTAAACCTATAAAATATATCACACATTGAACATTGTTTATAATTATCATTATTTTTGAAAAAAGATAAATGCAGATATACTTAGGATAATGAAATAGGATACTTGATATAGGACTTATATCTGAAAACTTTGTTTTCTAGTTTCACAGTCTGAAGTTAGCCCACAAATGAAACAAGGTAGTCCTGGATGTGGGTGGCTAGAGTGTATTATTTACTTGTGGTTTTATAGACAAGTTATGAGAAATCAAGGTGAGCAGTAAGGAATAAGAGTAAGCTCCAGTAGGAGCATGCTATTTGAGTTCTGTTAGGTGAGCACTGCAGACCCTGACCACCCTGTCCGTGCTTAGTTGCAGAATGGCTCAGGCTGTTGCCTGTCCTCGGAGTGCTTGCTCTACTTGGCTACCTTGCAGTTCGTCCATTCCTCCTGAAGAAGAAACAACAGAAGGATAGCTTGATTAATCTTAAAATACAAAAGGAAAATCCCAAAGTGGTGAATGAGATAAACATTGAAGATTTGTGTCTTACTAAAGCCGCTTACTGTAGGTGTTGGCGTTCTAAGACGGTAAGATGTCCACTTGCCCGTACTCTAAAATGTTGTGCAGTTCAACTTGTTTTGCTTCTTAAATCCCCGTTTTGAGGTTGTGTGAGATGAGAGACTCTTCCATAGTGTTCAGTATTGAAAGTCTGTATTCTTAAAGTTTGCATTTTATGTTGGACTACGTTAGAAAAGTTAGAGCAGCAAAAAAGCTGCTGAAGAGAACTGGAAATCCTATGCTCAGAAGTTAGCCAGAGTGAATACAGCTTAAAATGCATTTACAGTTTGAGAGGATATAAGGTTTAGAAAGGACCTGAAGCTTTGGAGTCAGAATAAATTGTGTTCAAAGCTGAGGTCTTCATTTACAGTATGACTCAGGTTGTGTGTCATTTAATCTTTAATCTCTGGGCTTCAGGGCTTTTTTCTTTTCTGGTAATATATCAACATAGACATTTTTGAGGAATTAGTGAGATGATGTACATACAGTGCCATATATAGTATGCGCTAGTAAATGGCAGCTGTAATTATGGATGATTTTTAGTGTAGAAATTTTTAATGAGGAGGAGTTTGGAGTGATGACTATAAGTAATTGATGAGATCTGTTTTCTTCTACTACTTTGATTTTAGGTTATTGAGGTTTTAAGTACAGTAATGTTCACCACAGTAGCCTTTGTAATTTAAGAACAGTCTAGATATCTGATAATAGGGGAGTAATTAAAGTATGTTATAATATAAATGGTGGGCTATTAGGAATCCATTACAAATCATGTATTTAAATAATATTTAATAACATGAGAGCATGATGTAGTTCAAGTAAGAAAAGCATATTACAGAATAATCCCAATTTTGTTTTAAAAAGTGAATACACATAGTAAATGCAGAGTAAAAAATATATGAAAATGTTATCTGAGTGAATTTCTTAGAATATATTTTTAATTAAAAAAAGTTATTGCATGCATAAGTTTTATAGTAAAAAACTATGAAATAATGTGTTTTGAATTTAAAGTATATTCTTTTCCAATTTAAATAAGCAACATGAACTAGAATTTAGAGCTCCACAGCGAACAAGAGCTTATTTGGATCTCCTTTAAATATTTTAAATATTGACTCATATGAAATCATCCAAAGCTTTTTATTTAAAATTTATACCCAAGAATTAAATAACTATTTAAAATTGCTAAATTTGCTGTGGTACTGGAATGTAGTTAGGTTAGATATAAAATATGTCTGTTACTCATGAAAGTTGTCTGATTTTTTTTTCAAAGTACTTTGCTTTCTTTATATTTCTACTTACTGAGTCATTTTTAAAATAACACTTTTAATTCTCTTTCCTTTCTAGTTTCCTGCCTGTGATGGCTCACATAATAAACACAATGAATTGACAGGAGATAATGTGGGCCCACTAATACTGAAGAAGAAAGAAGTATAATAGTAATGAATTAGGACTGAATTGAGTTGTGTGCTGTAAAATCTTATAACAATATTTTTTCATTTTTTTGTGTATAGAGCTTTCAAATGGTGGTCTTAATTATTGCTACAGGTTGAATAATTATTTCTGCCAATTTATTTTCTTGCTACACTAGTGTTTATATTTGATACTTTGTACATTCATTTATATAGATGTTAAATTGTACAATCCATTCTGACTTCAAAGAATTAATGTATCTTCCTACAATAAAATCAACACTTCTGATTTTAATTAATTGAAAAAAATCTTAAGCTTTTGGCAGTGGGTCCAAAGCTATTTCTTTGAATGTCATATCATATTGTCAACAGAGTCTGTACTTCAAAAATTTTCTCCCTACACTACTAAATATATTATTTTTCAGTTCTCTTCTGTTTTGTACATTTAAAGTGATATTTCCCCTTTTGGCTTTCCACACTCCATTCTTTTTAAATCAATAAGGAAAATATTGCTCTTAAGAATTACATGTTTTCAAAGAGATAAACTTTTTATAGAGAGTTTTGTCTATTTGATACGAGTATCCCAATTTCAGAAGAGATGTGAACTGGATATAAAAAGTTCCAACAATGAATAGTTATTTACATTTTTAAAGATTACTTTACCAAAGGCTTGTTGTGTCTGTTTATGTGTGTGCGGTGAGTATGTATCTTGGGCTATTTGACTCAGTGACATGGTCAGTAGGATGAGTGGCAGGAACATTTACAGCTGAGCTCATGAGCTGCTGCAATTTGAAGGCCAATTCGAAATGAACAAGTATATCTGAACTTGTTGGCAAATAGCTCAGTATTCAAAATTATGTATATTTTTCTCTTTATAATAGTGTAAACCAGTAAAACATAAAATACAAAATGTTTACAGAGTAAACTTAATGGGGAATCTTTAAAACTTTTGTAATTTTTATGAGCTATTTAGTTTCATTGTATATTACAATTCTTATATTAATAGCTATCTTTAAGTCTGTTAAAGGTACAATCAAGTCAGCTCACTATGCCTTTTTATATATGAAAATGGTAAGGAAGCAGAATATTTAATTTTTCTTCCAATAATAAAGCTAATAGTTAACACATGTCCCAGACACTGCACGAGGTGTGGGACCTGGATTTGTAATTTATTACATGTAATGTCGGGTTCTATTGTGTGATCAGCAGCAGGAATTTTAAAGTTAGGGTTAGAAGTGTTGTGGTTGTTTTGAGAGGTTTTACAAAGTGTGTGTCCACAAGAGTTGCTCTTTCCTCTCACCTGCGAGGAGCGAGAAATATACCATCGCTTTCCCTTTGACTCTAGGTATTTTTTCATTAGACCCTTAAAGGCTTCACTGTCAAATGAACCAATTATTTTTCCACAGTTGATCATAAGACTGGGAAAAATCCTCCCCATGGAAAGTTTGAATATCTTGGTCTGTGATCAAGAAATGCTTTTCTTTAAAATCATTCACTGCAACTCATGACAACATGTTTCTATGAACATGGTTCCTATACTTAGATTTCATAGAAGGCAAAATTTCCTAAAAAGATGGGGACCAAAATTAAATTATCAACTAAATTTTGTCAAGAAAGAACATTTTAAAAACTGAAAACTAATGATCTCATAAAAGGTAGTTTTAATACCCCAAAAGTAAGGAGGTTATACTCTCAAAGTTTTTTCTCCCATTTTAAGTTGTCCTAAGAGCTGTGCCCAAATATATTTCCACCTATGCAAATTTTTAAGAAGCCTCAGGCTGGTAGCAAGTTGTTTTAGTAACTACTGTACATAAGCATTATAATCAATTGCCATCACTTCCTTTTGTAAATTCACAGAAATCTGCCATGTCTGTCTTTTTTAGTAACTACTGTACATAAGCATTATAATCAATTGCCATCACTTCCTTTTGTAAATTCACAGAAATCTGCCATGTCTGTCTTAAAAAATAGACATCTAATAATCAATTGCATCTGAATTGATAGTACAGAAGATAACTCAGCTCTTGAAATACATATATTGAGTTTCTAGAACCTTAACAGCCCTGTGACTGTGTCACATGGTTGTTTTGAGGACTGCTTCTCCCTCTCCAGAGAACTGCTCATTGCCTTACTCAGCAAATGAGCACCACCATTACATAAATACCAGATATCCAGAACTGTTGAGCAGGCTTGAGGTATTAATGATTCACTCATATGGGTTATTAAGCAAAATGTATTATGAAAAGCACATTACAATTGAGTTTTGAGTTCAGTGCCTCATATGATGATTCATTAAACTGCTTTTGTATTTTGTAACCTAATTTGCTAATAAGTTTATGGGAAGCTAATGAAGCCAGCTACTGATCTATATAGTTCTACCTGCTTTACTGTCATCCTATAGTCTTCCATTAGAAACGTGCTATCAGACTATTCCTCTGCAAAGAGTTTTAATACTGCTGTTCAACAGGTTTCTTAAATGATGGTGGATATTTTACCAGAAACATCTAATTGCACTTCACCTATTTAGAATTCAGTTGTGGCAGCATTACCAATCTGGAGAAGACCGGGAGAGAAATTAGTAACACTCATGTACAGTACTTTATTCACAAGTGAGAGCCTCAGGTCTGCATCATCAGAATCTACATATTCTTGCCTCACACCTAATTCTGACAAATTTGGTGTTCTGATTTCTGCTCCTAAACAGATCACAAGTATCAGCTGTGTCTTGCTAGAGACAGGTAAACAATAAATGGTAACAGCTGACAGCAGGGGAGAGCAATGAAAAATAAATTTACTGTGAACATTAAAAGCATAGCAGCTTGAAACAATTTAGTATAGGATCCTGCACACAAACCCTGAAAACATCACTGTAACCAAATTATATGTGATGTTTAATGATGAATTTGAATCAAGATGAGTAGTATATGGTATTTAAGAAGGCAGGATATATATTGCACTTGGTGACAACCAATTTTTGTTCAAAAAAAGTTGACAGCTTAGTGCTTAAAGTGGTATATCCAGCCAGAAAATTTATGCAGAAAATACCTTGACTCATTCCTTGATATTTGCAGTCTTTCATAAGGAAGTTTTCCACTTAATTATAACATTTTTCAAGTTTATTGACTGTAATTCACTACATAATTTAATTTGTTAAGTATGAGAAAAAACAAAGGAACAGTGATTTAAACCACATACACCATATTGGATGACCTCTATCTTAGGGAGGATTAAAAATCTTTAAAAACCATTGAGCCGCAGTTCTGTTACTGCCTCACGCTTTGCTGGCCATATACCTTTGCATCAGAAGTTGACTGTAAAAAACTCCCACAGCTGTTCTGTTGTTTTTTTAGCTATGCTGCCTCATCTGGGGTTGTGCTTTAGTCTGTCAAAAGTCTTTCACTGGAAGCTCACTTGTATCTTGTTCATATAGTCAGCTGCTTTTATCACTTGCAGAATCCAGTTTAGTAAGTCATGTTTTAGCAAGCATTTTATTATAAAAAGTAGATGATCCATATTATTAGGAATTGTGCAATTTTGTATTACGATCTTCAAGGACATTGAAAATCTGTTCAGAAAGGCATATCTGTGTCCTTCAATTAGAGATGAGATCACTAACTTTGATTTATGATTCTTTGCTGCCCAAGAGTGTATATCTGTGACTATTCTCTTAAAACACTACTGTTGAATAGATCAGCCACAATGTTAACAAATATCTGGTCTCTGTTATTAAAGGCTGGAGTTTTCCAAACTAATATAGAAAAGGGGAAAGGGTAGTAAGTTGCATAATTACAGAGATGAACCGTGTACTAGTGACAGAATAAAAATGTCAACAATTCACTAAATTTTTAATATCCTGTGATTTTCCATTTGTATCCATCATACATTCCTTGCATTTTCATGCTAAACATAGGAATCAGTAACACTCATTCAACAAACTTAAGAAACTCAAAGCTTAAAAGTTCAGCCATAAACTATAGTGAATGCTGCCAAGAAATGAAATGATGAGACTAGAAAAATGTTCATTTTAAAATGCTGCATACAACCCATTAGGAAATCTAGTGGAAATGCATAATTTCTTAGAAAAAACATAAATGACTGAAAATAACCCAAGACAAAATTAAAATGTTATTAGACCAATTATCAAATGAGAATGGAAACGTTATTCTTTAAATCCATTATTTTAAAAGTACTAGAGCTGGAAGAAAGATAATTCCAATGTAATTTAAATTATCCCAAATTTTTTAAAAAGGATAAACTTCCTAATTCATTTCATATAGCTAGTATAACATTAATATGGGAGGCTAATAAACACAAGAAAAAACACACAGACCAATCTTACTTATACAAATGAATGAAAATTCTAAGTAAAAATGCAGCTCTGTAAAAAGGGTTACTATACTATGGCAAAGAGAATGTATTCCAGCTATTCAAAAATGTTTTGATTTCAGTAAATCTATTAATTACATAGATGAATTAAAGAAGAGATATTATCATATCTATAAGATGCTGAAAGGGCTATTGCTAAAATTCAATAACCACTCCTAATGAAGATTCTTGAGTTAATAAAAATTGAAAGAAACTATTTAAGCACAATGAAGATTATTTATGAAAAGCCTACAAGTATTTAAAATCAAACTATTTCAATTAAAATCAGGAACTAGCAGGAGTGACTGCTGTCATTATTCAATATTAAAAATAATCTTGGAGGATCCAGTGAATATGACAACATTGAAAAATGAAATAAGTACAAATACAAGAAAATAGAAAAAATTTTGTTGATATGACTACATACCTAGGAAACCATATAAATGAAAACAAAAAAGGTTTTTAATAAGGTTTTTGGGAACAAGATGCACATACAAAATTTAGTGACAAACACCTTGAAACTCTAATGAGAAAAATTTTTCATTCAAACTGCAAAATAATAAAGGTAAAATAAATTTACCAAGAAAGGTACAAGACCACAATAAAGAAAACTATAAAAATGTTACTAAAACTGAGCAAGATTAAACACACGAAAAAATAGTTACTATTGTAAAACTATAAATCTCTTAAGATTAAAATATAAATTCAATGAAAGATTAAAAATCACAAGAGCATTTAAAATTGGATTAAATGATCTTACAGTTCATATAGAAGAATAATCAGAAGTAAAAAATAACTTCAGAGGAGCTTTACTCACCAGATGTCAACACATAGCCGAAAGACATTGAAATCAAGGCAATTAAAATAAAAGTAATTGCATTAAATAAGAATAAACAAGATTGGTAGAAAAGAAGTGAGACTCTAGATGTGGATGAAAATTTAATATATGACAAGTGTGTTTCATTTTCAAGAAAAAATTAATTTCCTATTTACACTAAAGGCTGTGATGTGACACAAAATGATCTTTTAAATGATTAAATCATTTTAAAGAAGAGAGAAGGGAGATGGGAGAGAGGTAGAGAAAATAGGAGACTAAAGACAGGAAAACCTATGTGGCAAAAATTCACACAATTTTTGTGATGAAATCAAATATCAATAGTACATAATGGAATTGCATGTGGGTTTCAAAGAGTTAACATCTACACTATATGAATATGTATTATGTAATATATAGTGAAAATATGTGCTATACAATGAGCATTTACAAAAGGACAAGAAAAAAAGGCAACATATGAGGACAAATAATAATATGAAAGATATCACCATATAAGGGCAAATCCAAATGGCCAAAATGTGTAAAATTATGCTCAAATCACTAGTAATCAGGGAAGTGCAAAGAAAGCACTAGAGGGTTGTCACTTTATACTTCATTGGATGGTCACATATCAACAAACACAATACCTATTGGTGGGGCTTTGGAGAAGGAGAGCAACTGCCCTCATACATTGGTGTTAAGAAATATATATAGATCATTACAGTCTTTTTCAAAAACTATTTGGTACCATTTGGGAAAAACTGTATTCTTTGTCACAGAAATCCTATAGAAGTGAAATGAGTATATGTGAACATACATATTTTTTTTTATTGTAACTTTGATCTTAATGGAAAATACAAATTGGAGCTGTATTAGTTGACTCTTCCTATGCAGTACTAAAAAGAAGCAGGATGCAGTATGGCACGCTTAATCTCCTCTTTGTGTGTATGTGTGTGTAACTCTGGGGGAAAATCTTGAGGCAAAATACCTTTGAAACCTAAATCAGTCAAAGGGAGAAAAAAAGTAGGAGAAAACTATTGCTTACAAGCAGTCATCCATTTCTGCTCACCCGCATGTCTCACTACCTGGCTGCAAAAGAAATGGGGCCCCACACAACCTCTGGGGACCAGATATGCTCTTGCTCCCCCCTGTAATTACCTATTGATATGGAGATGCACTAAGGCCAGGTGAGAGATTCTAGAAATATTGCATTTTACCCACAGTGTGTATATGTACATTCTTATTTTGGGTTATGTGTGTTTGTGTATAGATGTGTGTATGTCTGCGTATGATTTTATGAGCATGGAAAAAATGGAGATGATGTATTCTAATGGGAATGACATTTGCCTGGACAGGATAAGTGGAGTAAAGATGGACATTTGGGTGGAGGGAGAGAGGAGATAGTAAGCAAACAGAAAAAAAAAGTAAAGAAAAATTCTTTTCTAAATTCCATATATTATATCCCATTTTAAAATTGTACAAATTAAATGTGTGTACACAATATGAAAATTTTAAACATTGATTGGATTTCATAACATGAAGGTCATTGATGACTTTACGCATAGCAATTTTAGTTCAGTGGGAGCAAGTAATGAAGTAAAAATTCTAATAGAGCAGCTTGAATAAAAAATATGTAGTAAAATATCAGACTACAATAAACTGAAACTTTACCAAAATAATACCAGTAAAAATAAACAA